CCCCAAAACCCCAAAACCCCAAAACCCCAAAACCCCAAAACCCCTCAAAGCAAAATAATTATTGAACTTGACAATTAATCCGAATCTATCCTAAAAGCTGCAAATTCATATCCATCAAGGAAAAGCCCTTCTCTCATACCAATCTTAGATTCTACTTGAACCTTCGGGATATGATTTTCAAGGATATCTACCTTGTGCTTCTGTTCTCTGAGGTCTTTAACTTTAAGAGAATCTGGGTACTCTTCCTTGTCATACTTGAAATAGCTTTCCTTGTCTTCTAGTCCATTTAGTAGGAATTTTCTATCTGTCCAAATTCTTAAGCTGCTCTTTGAGAATGGTGTAAATGGTACTTTTGACTTAAATTTTGACCGATTTCTTAGCTTTATAATGTTATGAGCCACATCGTATCCAACCAACTCAAGAGTAGGAGTAAAAGTTTTGGCACTGAAGAAGGAAAGTGAGGTGGCATGAGTGTTAATGAACGACTGAATATCTTCCTTAGTCTCTAAAACACTTAATGTAAGAGATTGTTGGTCCAAAAATAAGTTGTTCTTGATCATCAAGAACTTGAAATTAATAGTCGAGGGAATATCAGCTAGATTATTCTTCTTTGTTGTCTTCCTGCTTATTATATACTCAAAAACACTTCCAAGGTTGCGAGCAGGCATGGGAGTGGCAGTTATTGTTTGGAAGATATTTCCATTTTGTGCTTTTGAAGAAACTCCACTGATGGTCGGGAATAGTCTATCATGGTTGTGATCAATCTCCATTGAATATAAGGAATCACTTGAATAAAGCTTTGAGTTTTGGTGGCTCTTTAAATCAATTCTCAAAGCAATTTCAATATTTCTGGACAAATATGAAGTTATTTGAACCTCTGGGATGAAAGAGTTTGCCAGAACACTTGTTGTTACCTCAACTGTGTCCATTTGTGAAGTTGAAGAAGATAACTTGCCATACATTGTAGCGGTCGTACTAAGGAAACCAGTCTGCTTTATGATTTTTAAAGCTTCAAGGCTCTCTCTTTGCCCTTTATCCGTAGAAAGGATTTTGTCTTCTTCAATAGAATATGAGAAAATATCCATGTCAATATCAGCCATGACTGATTCTTGATAAGGAGTGATGAACCTCTTAGGTAGGAGGTTATTGCTCAGGAAAACTTCAGTCTTTCCAAGCTTCAGTTTCATTTCTTCTGTTTTAGTCATCTCTTCCTTCTTGCTCTCTATAGAGCAATATTTTTGGAAGCTCTCTTGACAGACAGTTGAGTCTGAGATAGATCTGACGAAAAATACTTTTGTTTCATGAGGAGCAAGAGAGGCTTCAAACAGCAAATTGTTGTCATTATTAGTTTCTTGTGTATTCCCAACTTCAATAGTGAATTGGACTACTTTATCAAGTTGAGACTTTATTGATTTTAGCTCATTATTAAAAACTGCGGCTTGAGGGCTCTGAATTCTAATGCGAACTACTTCTTTAGCATCAGTAAGGGAGGGATTGAAGATAATTATTTTCTGAATTTCCTCGCTCCATTCTTTGCCAAGGAAATGAGCAAGGATTTCATCAGACTCAATATTAGCGATTTCAATATTTTCATTTTCTTTCTTTATTTGCAAAGACTTGAGCATCTTTGTATTGTATAGATTTGAAATATCTTGAGAGATTTTGCTTACTTTCGAAAAGTATTTCATATCTCCATTTTCTGAAGTGTGTGCATCATCTATCACTTGAATTGTGCTGAGACTTGAGATTTCTCCTCTGATTTGGTTATACTTCTGTATATTTGGAATCCTTCGAGGGACTTCAAGATCGTATTTGAGATTCAATAAATTGTTAATCACAAAAGCTGCAGATAGACTAGTCAGATCTTTTTGGAAATTTGAATTAATGTTCTTTACTTCTGAATGGGTGGTATAAAATCCATGATACCCAGAATGAATATTCTGATAATTTAAGTCCCTTCTATCATCTACTGAGTGGTAGTCTTTGTCTTCCAAAGTATATGGGACGTTCCAATGCTCATCAGGGTATTCTTTCTCCATCTGGTGGATATAGTCATCAAGTGTAGCAAAGTGATAACTAAGAAATCTGTAATCAGACCAATTCCTATTCAATTTTTGCACTTCTGTCATATAATTATCAATACAGTAGAAAGTTAACTCCGCGTTTTGATAAAAATTGTTGCCTCCATATAGAATAATTAAGTCATCTGCCCATGGATATTTATGAACATAAGGCTCCATTAGTTGGGTTCTGAAGCTTCTTGTGTCGCTGACAGGAATGAAAGGATCATCTCATTTGTAGTCAGACTTCTTTCTAAAATCAAAGGGATATCCGATACTCATGTCTCTTTTTGAAGGGTAAGTTAAATATCTAAAATTTAGCAGAGTATCGATTCCCATCATGGAATACAATGAATCATTGAAGTAATTATTCTCAAGAATAGGCTTTTCACAACTTCCAGGTTTGTTGCAAAGTTTATAATCAGTTGATAGATTATCATTTATTTCTCCACCAATATTAGGAATCTTGTCAAACATTTTATACAAGAATTCCTGCCCAAGGCTAAGCTGATCAATTTTGCTTTTATAGTCTACCATTCCTTCAGCCATTGTTCCCCAGTTGGCATTAATGAAAATGAATCGGTTGTCATTGATCATACGATTTGCAAGTTTTTGCCATTCTTCAGTTGTCTCGTAGTACCATTCTGAAAATATTCCAACCTCCTGCCAATTGAATACATATCTGTAATCTTTCCTCATAGCTGTAAGGACAGATTCAATTATCGGGAAAGCCTTGTTTTTCTTAAAACTTTCATAATCCTCTCCTGGCTCAGGCTGGAGGTGAGTGTATGGTACCAGATATACGTTCAAGTTCCATTTACGGTACTCGTACTTTCTGTAGAATACATAGCTGATCATAAGCAGGGCTAGGAGAAAGGGAACCCAAAATCGAGTTTTCATTTTTAAATTTCAATTATTATATTGCTCTGAGGGGTTTTGGGGTTTTGGGGTTTTGGGG